TTTATTTGTAACCACGCTGTGTACATCTAACATTTCATCTCTATTACCACCACACATTTGTTCACTGCGCTGATAAACATGTCACTTACAGAGATGTATTGTTCTGATAACGTCGTAAACTGAAAACAGGGGATCAGTATGTTAGAACACACGACAATTGTAATGCATAATACAATATCAGTTTTAAACACGCGGTTAAATATTAATAGGACAGATGAGGAACGTCTACATTGTCACCGTTTCGTTTATCTGTGGCATAGGTTTCTTAATCACAAAGTTGTTGATACCGCGTTCTAATTCCTGAATAGAATGCTGTGTTATTTGTCGTTAAGAAAATAACTGACATTGAAATAAATAATACCATCAGGTCCGTACACAGAATGTTTGGAGGGGTTCTAATTTGTGAGATCAAAAGCCACTACATATTGTGCGAAGTACAATATGCATGCGTAGCACACTAATGCTACGAGGGTTTGGGGCATGCTCCCCCAAAAAATTTGTAAAAAAATAAGTACTACGAGATTAAATACGGAACCAAATTTGCATGAAATATAGCTTAGACAATTGTATGGCTGTTCACATAAAATACACAAACATCCAATGAAAAGTCAACAAATCATCATTCTCTTGTAACACTGCACTGGACTTAAATTAACATAAATATGTATGTTTTATTATATATACTATGTACATTCAGGGTAATTATTAAATTATATTACTAATCTAAACAACACTGTACAACAGTAGTATATCAGCCATTTCAATTACTGGCTATCACATCCGTACATATATGCACTACTGAAATAGCATGTTAGCATGCTCCATTCTTCTGAGGTGTTTTTAAATAACTAACTTAGATACAGTTTCTAGGTTGATAGCAGTGTCATAATGATTATGTATTAAAGCTAGAGCACTCAGTTCTTTTTTTTTGGTTTTTGTACACCTCGGGTAAGTATTCAACCGATAGACAGCATATACCGTACGTTCACTTGAATATGAACTTAATAGCAGTATTTGTTTTAACATCAGAAAAACAGGGGGTCGGTCTCCCTTGCGTGACTATCCGTTATTTTAATAAATCGCCTTACTTGTGTTGTTTTTTTTATCCTTCGGGAAGGGCCTGGATACTCGTTGGAGTAGATATCCGTAAGAAACATGGAGTTGATGAGAGTAGACTTCCCCAGACCTGACTGACCTGGAACAATAATTATAACATTCAACTACACAGACTGTTAACAATTTACAGTGTAAAAACAATCATGTAGTTTTAATCTAATATTACTTTAATAAAATACAAAATATGTGAAACAAAATCATTCGGCTGCAACCTTCACTCAACCAATGAATAAACAAGCATTACTTGACGTCACAATGATTCTTTTAAAATTTACCGCGTTTTGTCATTTTGATAACACTATTGTGATACTAGTTAAATAACAATTCCATCTTACTGAATGTTGCGATTTATTTTATAAATAAGTTTCATTACTTTTTCATTTTGATAACACTATTGTGATACTAGTTAAATAACAATTCCATCTTACTGAATGTTGCGATTTATTTTATAAATAAGTTTCATTACTTTTCATTTTTAATGGAAGTCTCCCTTAAAATGAAAATAATTTACATTATTAGTTTCGTTTTGAGTTTACTTACTGATAAGTATTATTATAAGTACGGTAGTATTAGGTCGTCAAGAAATTAATGTTGCGTTTTGAAACACTTTCACTAACCAACCCTCAAAAAACGTACATCATGTATAATAGTTAAACGAACGGCCTAAACGTTACGTGTAGCGTATATAATGTGTAAAGTTCATTATACCGTAATCCCTTATAGTGATGGCACACAACGAGACACACACTTGGCATGCAATGCTGTTTGAATACAAGAAGGGAAACAACGCCTCTGTGGCCACACAGAATATCAAAGAAGTTTATGGAAATATTTTGGACGTTCGTAAGTGTCAGCGATGCTTCAGCAAATTTCGTTCAGGTGACTTATCCTTAAAAACTGTGATGGCAGGGGCCGACATGTTGGAATTGATATTGATGCTCTGAAGACGACTGTTGAGTCTAACCTAAGGCAACACATTCGTGAAATGGCCCTAAAATTGTATGTCTCTCTCATGAAATAATGCGTAAACATCTAAGGAATATGGGAAAACTCCATAAAGAAGGTGTTTGGGTGCCTCACGAACTCTCCGATGATCATCGCTTCCAACGTGTGAACGTTGCTTTGTCTCTTCTGGCGCGCAATGCGCGTGAACCATTTTTGGACAGAATTGTCACAGGTGATCAAAAAATGGATTCTCTATGCAAATATTAAACGCCAAAAACAATGACTCAGTCCTAGACAAAAACCACTTCCGACCCAAAAGCCTAGACTCCATCCGCAAAAAGTGATGCTTTGCATTTGGTGGAAAATCAAAGGAGTAATTCATTTCGAACTCCTCAATCCACAGCGAACTATCAATGCAACTGGAACGTTTAATTCAAGCCCTTCATCAGAAACGCCCTTCACTCGTCAATCGAAAAGGTGTTCTTCTTCTCCACGACAATGCACGTCCACATGTGACAACTTTGACG